TTGAGGACTCCCTTGCTGTTGTACAGAACGGCCACGACAGCTTTCATCCCCACCAGTGCAGGCACTTGATCTTTTCTCCGTATCCTCATGAGCACTCATCTCTGTTTTGTTTTATAATTGACAGGAGGCGGGCTTGGAATTACATCCGCTGGATGTGACTTAGAGGTGCAGATAGTTTATGTGGACAAGTCCTGACTCAGATCTGACAGGGCTCAGTGGCCGCCTGTGACATCTGAATTAGACCTGAGGCTTCACAGTCCTTCCTGGTGGAATTTCACCTCCATAGCTGGAGTTCAGAGATGATCTCAGTAGGATCTGATCCAATAGTAAATTAAGGCTGCAGCGGAAGTGATGGAGACAGGAAATCTAACTATTTGAGGTCATGGGAAAACATTCCATGCAATGTGCCTTGAGGGTCACTTGATTTCATATGTAATATCTGTGTGAGAGATGACTCAGGAGCCATCAGGAAGGACTCAGCTGTCATGAACAGCGCCATGAAGTTGTTGCCAATACCATGCCAGGAGGTAAGAATGTAAATGATAATTTATGGTACTATTTCCTTCAGATTTGTGCTCTGACTCTGTCCTCGCATTACTGAAAAGACACAGGTAACACCATGCTGTCCCAACATTACTTTCTGCCTGCCTGGTCACTCCTCAGCCTTCCACCTTCAACAGTCACATTCACAGTGTTGACGCCTCTGGGGCTGTCTACTTGACTATGATTGGGATGTATTGTGTCTGGAGATACAGACTAGCCTCGTAAACAATGAAGATGTTACTAAGCAACTCTAAATTCCTCACCACTTATATACCCCTCCCCAACACTGATGTAATTATAGTTTTGTCTTTTTAAATGCTGTACTCCTGAGCTCAGGCACCAAGAAACATCCCAGAGGTGTGAGTCCATTCATGCATGGCTATTAATTAATAAAGGTTTTAACCATTTAATTAGTTTTTCTTTTTTTTTTGAGGTTTACTTATTATGTATAGGGTTCTACCTGCATGTATGCCTGCAGGCCAGAAGAGGGTGTCAGATCTCATTATATGGTTGCTGGGAATTGAACCCCAGACCTCTAACCTCTGAGCCATCTCTCCTGCCCCACGTTTGTGCTTGTCAGGAACTATCTCATGTGGACCATTTCATCACCAGGTATCTTAGTCAGGTTTTTGTTGCTATGATAAACACCATGACCAAAAGCATGTTGGGAAGGAAAGGGTTCATTTCAGGCAAAGAACTCAGGGCAGGAACCTGGAGGCAGGAACTGAAGTAGAAGCCAAGGATGCAGGATGCTTTACAGACTTGTTCCTCCAGGCTTACTGGGTTTGCCTTCTTATACTATGCAGGATCACCTTCTCAGGGGGTTTACATCATCACCTACAGTGGGTGCCCTGTCATATCAACCATTAATCAAGAAAATGCCAGACATGCTAGCTTACACTCCAGTTTTATGGAGGTGTTTTCTTAACTGAGTTTCACTTCGCACAGATGAGCCTGGCTTGTGTCAGGTTGGTAAAAGGTGAACTAACACACCAGGTGAAGATTTCTCCTCTCATTTTGTCTTTCCACAGACAGAAGTCAGCTAAGATACAGTTTAAGCTCACGTTTATTTAGCAAAGCAAAGGAACTCAAAGCAATAACAAACTCCAGAACAATATCAAAGCAGGCAAGACTGGAGGTGGGTGGCAGCCCACCGGGCTCTACATGGTGGAGGTTTTTAATGTTCCTCATGGTCCCCTCTCTCTTATACCAATGTCAAGTTCCTCCCTTTGGGAGCCAGCTTCATTTATCTTACTCTGCTGAAATTGTTCCAGGGCCAAGATGTCTGCACAGTTATCCCTTGCCTGCTCATCAGCACAATTGTTGGTGGCATCTATGGTCATTGGGAAAGTGTCCTGGTGCCTTAGTTTCTTACATGGCAGGAGGAGCCCAGTTGCANTTTACAAGGCAGGAGAAGCCCAGCTGCATATTCAACGGTCTCTGTCCACAAAGCGGCATTGCAACATCAGGAGACACAGCAACCAAGACACAGCCGTAGTCCCTTTGATTGTCTCTCTGGTAAGGAAGAAGCTCATCTCTGCCAATTCTGGAGCTGTGAAACCCAACACCAAGATGCCAGCATTGGCTCAGGGTCTGCTGGTGCATCATGTCCTGGTGGGGACGTCACATGACCAGAGTTCAGTTTACCTAGGCTTTTGTAGGTGCCATTCAAACCACTGTCAGGCCTTTCCCCAAATCCCTTAGCCATGGCTTCTGGGCTTAGTCAAGCACAGAGTGTGCTGGCTTGGCCGAGGGGATGGAGAGAAGAGGACTCTGCAGTTTTCTGCAGGTGATCTCAGGAACAGAGACCAGCGAAGGTCACACAGCCTCCAGGGTTAGAATCCAGTGCCCCTCAGCTTGCCTGGGCTTCTTTCCACAGAACAACTCTCTTAGAAGGGCACATGAGCATCTTGTCTCCTTTACAGAATAAAGAAACCGGACAGGGGCATCTGGAAGAATCATAGATTTTCGCTGTACACTGGGAGGGCCGGCAGCCTAGACAGAGGGAGTGCAGAGATCTGTATGGTAAAGTAATCGAGACGGGATTCGCAGTCAGGAGTCATTACACCTGGTTTCAGACATGTTTTAGTTCCTTCTGGCAGATCCACATGTTGTCTGAAGTACAGCCCTCAGAAACCACGTTGTACTTTGTGATGGTGACACAGCTGTTCAGTTTAGCATCGCCTTTGATGTTCAATCTGAGGAGGAAGAGAACAGCCACTCTTAGTGTTTAGGATTTTCTCATAATTATCTTGAGTTGGCCATGTTTTCCTCTGGACTTGTAAGGACTGTAGAATACATAGTTCTTAGTTATGGTAAACCTAGAGTAACAACATACACCAACATTAAAGATAAAGCTTTATGTCAACAAATCTCCAGCATAATTTTCAATTTTACTTACTACTGGAGAAGAATTCTTGCAGAAAAAAAAAACACATTTATCTGCTATAAGAGAGGAGAAGTTTTGTAAACACAGTTGAATCTTATTCTACTGCTAACATCTCATGCAAGGAAAAAAACCGCCTCAATTTGCTGAGGTTCGGTCTCCTAAATATATAGCCTATAACCAGCCAATGCTTGGGGAAGGAGCTCATGTATACATGAAAATGTGACAACAGCTAAACACAGGGGGTGCTCAGTGGCTCTACAGACTCTCAGCATCCACAAAGGAAAGAGGCTAAGGCCGTGGTCCCTTTATTCTCTGGGGGTATTTAATTTAGTATTCATACATGGCTCCCGTGTCTCCCATGGTACACTGCAGGTGTGAACCATTCAAGAATTCAAACTATTATGGAAATAACCAACCACTCTCTGCTCTGTTCTGATTGGTTCTGAAGCCCATTCAACAGGATGGAATTCATGCCTGTACTGCAAGTCTGGTCAGACCCATAAGGAAACACACTGCTGTTGCATTGCTAAACAAATATGTTTAAAATTTCCTTCCAAATACATACGTTTTTATTACAGGCTATTGCTGCTCTCAGTCTTCAGCATAGAAACTTCTTTTGCAGTAAGAAGTGATTTGAAAACTGGAAGTGATCACTGAGTACTCAGCCTTAAGTGGGATAGGGAACATCATGGAAAGGGGCAGAAAGAATGTAAGAGCCAGAGGGTGAAGTTGATGTCCATGAAAGTGTCTTCTGAACTTGATGTGGTTGATACACTCATGAAGCCACTGCTGCTATGATTACCTGCACAAGACCTGGACAAGATTGGGACTGGACGGCAAACTTACCATCACAGGTAGAAAGGGAGATCTCAGACCCCCAACTTCCCTGAGGATACAGGTAGTTAATAGTTGCTGGGTAAGGAGATGTCATTTTCATCAATGACATAGTTATTCACCACCCATACTCCAGGGAATAACCCCCAGTTCATATTCATGCAAGCACAATTAAACTCAATGGATCTCTCTCTCTCTCTCTCTCTCTCTCTCTCTCTCTCTCTCTCTCCCCCCACACACACACACACACACACACACACTGTTGTATAGCAATTTCCTCTGAACTGAAACATTCCATCTTGGAGGGAAACTCATTCAGATTCAGAAAGTTCTAAAGGGAAACTCCTTAAAACTCAGAATATAAACAACTCACAAGTCTTAACAAGCTCCTGAAACTGATCAGATGCAGGACACATTTTATACCCAAAGGTTATATGAACAGTAAGGACTGCTGAGAAAAGGAAGTTGTCTCACCAGTCGAACTGCCTACAAGCTGTGCAGAGAGCTTGAAGGTTCCAGATTTTATGTGTTGTCACAAGTTTGGGGGAAGGGTTTTCAGTGATCAGCTGCCTTTGTGTCGTTTATGTTCAGCAAATACCCCCTCATTCATACTCTTACAAGTAATTCCTATTAACTCAGTGGCTTGTCAGAGTGGACTTTGGTAGTATTGTTATTTTGATTTGTCATTGGTTCCCTATCTAGGGTCAGTAGATATTTAGTCACATCTCCACAGAAATAATGTCACATAACTAACTGCCTTTCTTTCTCTCTGCCTCTCTCACACACTCACACACACATACACATACACACACACACACACAGTGGAGAGAAATTTGAGAAGTGTGTTGGGAATAAGAAGAGTTTTAGTAGAAGAGATAGAAGGAAACGGTACATGAAAATGACACAAATTCACTGAATATTTGGATGAAATTAGTAAGGAACATCTCACAAATCAAACCTTGCTTTATATGAAAAATATAAGTTAACATCAAATAGTTTTATTTCCTTATAGGCACTATGTTGAAAATAGTCTTCATTGTCACAGGTTTGTGCTAATTTGACACCACTGAGTCATCTGAGAGGAGGAAACCTCAATAAGAAGATGCCTCCATAAGACAGGGCTGCAGGCAAGCCTGTGGGACATTGTCTTAATTAGTGATTGACATGGGAGGGCCCAGATCATTGTGGGTAGGGATACCCCTGGGCTGGTGGTTCTGGGTTCTATAAGAAAGCAGGCTGAGAAAGCCATGAGGAGCAAGTCAGTAAGCAGTATACTTCCATGGCCCCTGCATTAGCTCCTGCTTCCAGGTTCCTGCCCTGTTTTAGGTGCCCGTCCTCAGTCCTTCAGTGATGAACAGCGAGGAAATAAACCCTTTCCTCAACTCGCTTTTGGCCACAGCAATAGTAACTCTAAGTAAGACACTGAGAAAGCATTAGGAAAAATCAGGATATATTTTATGAAATAGAATATGTCTTTTTTTGTTTTCATAAATATATTCTAGAACACAACACTTGTTTTTAAATAATCCCCACTTTAACATCTCATTCACTGAAAAAAAATTCAAAATGTGGTCCTGTATAGTGTCAACATTTACTATCTAGATAATTTTCTCTATTTAACAACCTCTATAGTAATATGTTATCATTATATTATATATAAGCCTACATATGCTTCGTTGTGTGAATTTCTACCTTTTTATTCTAAATGATTAAAAGGAATATTTTAAGTATTGATTTGAGCAATGTGAAGGAAGGGGTTCATTTCACTGATACTTACTGAGGCTAAGTCAAAGCAGGAACTTAAGCATTGCAGGGCAGGAGGCAGGAGCTGATGCAGAGGCCATGGAGGGATGCTGCTTACTGACTTCCTCACTGTGACTTGCTCAGCCTGCTTCTTATTGAACCCAGGACCTCCAGGCCAGGGGTGACACCACCCACGATGAACTGGGCCTTACATTACTAATTAGGAAAATGTCCTACAGGCTTGCCTACATCCTGATTTTATGGAAGCAGTTTCTCAATGGATGTTCTCAGATCCACCTCTCAGATGACTCTAGCTTGTGTCAAGTTGGTATAAAATAAAACTCACTAGCACAATTACTAAAATATGATTCTCAACATCATTTCTTTTGGAAAAAAAATCATTGAAAGCTCTGTACAGAAATTTGATTGAATCCTGCTTACTTTTGCTTATGAAAAACATAAACACGTTGCTTTTGGGACACGGTCCAGGAATGGACTCAGGTAAGGAGAAGTCTGAGTGATTGAGGGAACACTCCAAGAGAACAGTACAAGAGTCTTGTGACTCAGTTCCTTCCAAACATGGAAATGTTGTTGGAATTCATTTTCTCGCTCCTCCAGGCACAACAGAAAGGAGTGGGTTTATTTCAGATAACTTATTAATACTTACTATTGGTAATCAATAATATTCAAGCTGTCTGTGTGCGTCTCTGGAAGAGCATGTTTGTCATGCTCAGCTTGTCTTTGTTATTGCGTGCAGCTAAAGCCTGTGAACTTTGCTCACGTGAACTGTCTCAACCCTCAGAGTACAGATGGCTGCTTCTCTGTACAAAGCCGGCTGCTGCACGAGCCTTTAGTCCACCTCATTTATTGGCTCCACTCTCTCAGCTCCTACCACATCTGGAGTGGCGACATGGTGCTCCTTGTTATGCCAATAATCATGAATCCTGCTAACATAAATAGCTTAACTATGAAGCATCAGCTCTTTCATTGCATTTGTGACTGTGTAGACAATCTCACACAATGAGAAAACAAGACACTAGGGGCAAATAGCTAATGTGCTGCTTAAGACATTCCATGCAAAGTGTAGGAAATAAAAGAAAGAATGAGCAATGTGAGCTGAGGTTCTAAGCAGCCGTTTTTCGAAGGAGTTAGTCTGCTTCCTGGCCTTAAAACTCCATCTCACACATATATGCATACACATGACTTTATAAAAGGCTGATATCTTTTTATACATGGAAATTTTCAGTCACTTTTGGAATCGTACTTTCAGACTGTTCTGAACCTCTCTAATCTTTGGTATCAGTGTTAGAGCCCTACAATAAGATGACCTGAAATGAACATTAGGGTGAGCTCCTCCAATACTCACACATCAGAACTTAAAGTGGAGCCGTTTAACCATCTCCAGTGCTTGTCTGGCCATGAGTAATTTAGTCCAATCCAAAATGAATGTCCTCCCTCCTTCATCGAGTCCTTTATGAATTTCTACAATCAAAGCAGAGGAGAGGACTTAATCTGAGCCTGTGTGCTGTGACTCATATTCCACAGCCTCCCGACACCTAGGTCAAGTGTCACCTGTGTCTGTCCCGAGTCCTCAGCACAGTTCATTCTTCCTCCCTTGAGGAATCTGTGCCCAGCATTTATGATCCTAGGACACTCACCTTACATATGCAGGTATTGGTTCATATGTCCCTTTAGTCTCTCAGACTATGAGCTTCCATAATGTAAAGTCTCCACTGCCTTTGCGTGGAAGAGTTGTGAAGTCTAGAGACGTTGGTGCAGCTTCAGAGATGTGCTAACATCTCTATTTTATAGAACAACTCACCAGTTCTTCTTGGTCTTGAATGAGGAGCAAAGTGGCTCCTTTTCTAGTGCAGTTAGATAGACCTTCCTTCCAAACACCGTTCTCTTGAGAAAACTGTATGCATTTCTCTCGGTGTGGCAGCCAATATTTGGGGCACATTAGCTGAACTGGATTCTCTGAAGTGAAGAGCAGACATGGTAAATTTCTACCCTGTCTGTGCTGCACCACAGCCAGTTACACACAGTAGTTGTTTTGCTAACACACACTTTTACACACATAGTAACAAGTGCTGGGACAAGATCACTGTTAATGACAAATCAAAGAAATATAAATGACATAGAATTTATTTTATTTTTGTTTTTAATTAACTTTAGATAAGGTTAACTATATGAAATTTTGATTAAAACAACTAAATATTCATTGTAGTGGTTTGAATAAAAATGGTCCCCGTAGGCTGATATATTTGAATGCTTAGTTATCAGGGAGTGGTACTACTTTAGGAGGCTTGGCCTTGTTGGAGGAAGTGTGTCATGGGGGTGGGCTTTGAGGTTTCAAAAGCCCAAACCAGGCCCAGTATCCTTCTCATCTTGCTGTCTGCAGATCCAGATATAGAAGTGTCATCAACTTTACCAGCATCATGTCTGCCTGCATGCTGCCGTGCTCCTCAGTGTGATGACAATGGACTCAACCTCTAAAACTGTAAGCAAGCCCCAGGTGAATGCTGCCCTTTACAAGAGTTGTCATGGTCATGGTGTCTCTGCACAGCATTAGAACACTGACTCTAAAACATTCCTCTAAAGCAAAAAAAAATTTTTTTGGTTTACATATCTGTCATATGTGTATGTATGTGTGTGTTTTAAATGCATGTGTGTACAAGTACATCTGCCTATGCACGTGCAGAGGCCAGAGAAGGATGCAAGGTCTCTGCCTCTATCCCTCTCCACTTATGCTTTAGAAGTAGAGTCTTTTATTGAATGTGAAACTAATATTTTTTTTCTCCAAAACTGGAAACAGGCAGATCTCAGTGACTGTCCTGAGATGTTCATTACATGGAGGCTGGGGTTGTGATATCAGTCTCCATTCTTGCACACAAACACTCTTAACCACTGAGCTGTCTCTTAAGCTCCATATTTTACTATTTAAGTTGCTGTTCGTCTGTAGTAACCAACTGTGCTATTAGGCTGAGGCAGCATGATCAGGAGGACAAGGTGCTAGATTTTAAGATCACATATCTTCAGTTTCCAAGGGCATCCCTTACCAGTCACATGACTTTTGACAAGTTCTTAACCTTTTTAGGCTTCCGTTTTATCAAACATAAGAAAAACCATGATGTGAGCCTTGATGAAAGGTAATGTGGTATTGATCAAAATCAGGATATCAAAATTACCTGTTGCTTTCATTCTGCTCTCTGAAACGTTCACATTGCATTTTTCGCCTGTTGTTTTCATCTTGTTCTCTTGAATGCCTTTTCCTACTGGCGTTTTTTGTAATAATGGTAGATAGAAAACAAATGAAGAAGGTGGAATGTACATTCTACATACAATAGAATGGATATTGTATCTATCACTTCAGGAAACGAAGTCAACTCAACAAGCTTGAGTATGGACAGGAGACAATGTATTAGCGACATGTTAACAGGGGACCACTTTGGAGACAGAGTGAATAGAGAACCAGAAGAGTGCAGAACAAATGGGTTCACACTGCTGTTGGTTACACAATATTTAAGTGTTGTAGGGAGAAGGGCCCCTTGTTCCGGCTGCCCAGCTAGCTTCTAAGGGCATTGTGAAGCTCATGCACCTCTTCCACTGATGTTGGGGTGTCATATATCAATCTGTTGATTTCATTGGTTAATTAAATAAAGAAACTGCTTGCCCTGATAGGTTAAAACATAGGTGGGAGGAGTAAACAGGAGGAAGAGGAAGTGAGGTAAGACTCCTCAGATAGACGCGAGATAGCTCTGTTCTCAGAGACACACGCGATGAAGCTCCGACCCAGGATGGACATAGGCTAGAATCTTCCTGATAAGCGCACCTTGGGGTGCTTACACACATGATTAGAAATGGGCTAGTCCAGGTGCGAGAGTTAGCTGAGAAGAGGCTAGATATAATGGGCAAGCAGTGTTTAAAAGAATACAATTTGTGTGTTGTTATTT